GCAAATCATAGGCTGCTTTGGTTCAGAATTTTTTAAAATTCCACATTTTTTCCCTCTTTTCCATGTTCCCAAATTCTTCCATATATAAATAACATGTACATAATTACAGGAAAATTTCAGGACTGGAAAAATGATGAAAATTATAGACTTCTATATGTCAGCTGATATTCCAATTTTTATTTCCATTTCTGCCTAAATTTTTTCTTATGTAAATAACAATTATTTTAATCATTTAATTATTGTTTTTCGTTTCTGTGTCTAAATTTTGTCTTATATAGATAATATATATTTTTGCAGAGAAATATCAGGAGTGGGAAAATTATGGAAATTGTAGACTTATATATACGCAAATTTAATTTACAATTTTTTAAAATTCTAACTTTTTCTTCCCTTTTATATCTTTCAACTTTGTCACATAAAAGTAATTGGTAATCACATGGAAATTTTGAAAATAAAAATATTGTTTAAACAATAAATTTCTAATCTAACTATAGATAAATATAGATTTATTCCAGAATTTTTAAAAATTCGAATTTCGTTTTCTTTTTTACACATTTTCAATTCTTTGGCACCCCAAGACTGTGTGCTTCGAAAATCTAAAAATTTGACAAATTTTTAAAGAATGTTCTACGTGATAACTATGACATGTATTTAATTTTGTCCCCAAATTTTTTAAGAATTTTTCGATTTATATCGAATATATTTTTCTTTCCTAAGAAATATAACGTTCCCAAAAATTTCCGAAATATCATAGTTTTTCGTACGAAATCTCTCACGTGGGATTAGCTCGATGGTTAAAGGGGGTGGCAATGTGCGATCGAGGGCGCGAAAAAGGGGCGGATCCAGGATTCTTCGCGACCAGGTCTAATTCCGGATCTCGAGACTGATCGATGAGAACGATTCTTTTTTTCTCTTTTCTTCTCTTCCTCGCCCCTGTGCCTGCTCCTTCTGCGTGAATACGCCGGATTAGGTTCGTTTCACGGACGTTTTTGCTGGTCGTACGGTGATTGGATTATCGGGGGGGATTGGAGTTCTGCGGCTGCCGGGTTTTCCGAGTTTTCCGGCATACTGGCCGTCGTTCGAGGAAGTTCGATAGGGAGAGCTAGTAGTTTTGAGCAAAGGAGTTTGACTGTACGAGACGAGTCATGTGTGCAAATATGATTGTTTTGCGTTGAATTGCAAGTTGGATGGCAAGATATATGAGTTCACTGCACAAATTGATTAACCCCATAATACAAAAAGTGGAGAAATGCAATGAAATAATGTATATTGTTTTTTAAAATTCCCTTTATAATTTAAATCGAAAGAAATATTGCAGAATGCATAAATACAAATGTAACTTTCATCTAACGGTGTATAAAATTTATAAGAAAAATAGCCAAAAGGTAATCGTTGGTAATGTTACCATTTTTATGTTACTGGAAGAGTTAATCTATTTGGCAAGTGAAAAAAGTAATAAATTTAAATTCAGTGTTTAAATTTTTAAGTTTTTTAACATAGAAAAAGAAAATTATAAGATATTTTTATTACAGATTTTTCATAGAAATGAATATTAATGGTTCTGTTATGATATATTATTATTTGTGATTAATTTTCTTCGGCAAAATAAATGATGTCTTCTTCGTCAGCTGTATGCGAGGACTCGTCACTTCGATTTGTTCCCAAGTTTTTATAGTAATCATGTTTAACAGGAGGAATGAATTTCAGTAGGTCCATCGTGTCTCTCCTTTTTCCCTTATAACAGTTCTACCTTTAGGATATAATAAAGGCTGATCTACATTTTTCAAACTCTGTGGTCTACCTGCTACAGATTACCTTATATTAATGACATTAAATTCTGAATCTTCGTTATAGTTATATTTGAATTGCAGTGCATTTGAGTTGCATTATTGCAACGATTTACATTAGAGTACGGAGTTAATCAAAGTGACCTCTGAAATAAATTATTTATTATTCAGTGGCCAACAAATTTTTCTCGTTTAATGGTATCAATCTTAATTATCAGGGAAATTTATTATAAATATAAAAAGCTACGACTACACCAAGTGCTTTGACACTTAAATTTAAGATTTTTCAAAAAGTGGAGTTAATCGATTGGTGCAGTGAATGGCTCAGATATAGGGTGGGTCAGCTAAATAGAACGGCCTGAATACTTTATTAATATGAAGATCGTTGTATAAAAATTCTCTGGGGACAAAATGGCATTATTTTGTAATATTGGACTTGTTTAATCATGAGAGGAATTTAATAAATAGAACCAGCTGAATATTTTATTTATTTATACTTGAATATCTTATTGTATCTTATTAATCGTATAAAAATTTACTGAGAACGAAACTGCACTGTTTTGTAATTTTGGATAAGTTTAACTATAGAAAGAATTTCTTCTTAATTCCTCTAGAATTCCCATGGCAGCAACTGGATTTTGAATTTCTGTATTTACATTATATTATGATCAATATTCCAGTATACTTGAACTGCTTATATGAAACATTAAATATTTCTAATTATTTTAACACGTTTTTTAAAAGTATATTGTATTACTCCAAAAATATTTATATTTTTATAAAAGTCTTAGGGGAAATTGAACAATGGCAATTTCTATATTACAATAAATAAGAAAATGAAAGAAATGTATTTTCAACATTGCACAAATATATTGTGTTAAGGAAAAAGAATTTTTCACCAATAAAGTTGGAAAATTAATTAAAATATAATATTAATATAGAAAATTTTTTAATTTTTAAATTCCCATTATTCCTTCTTTAATAAATCCTTGTACAATACCTAACATTAACACGTTTATACTACTTCTAATAAATTAAAAAAAATTCACTTATAATTCCAAGAATATTTACAGAAAAATTTTACGAAGAATCGTAAAATCGTCTCAAAATTCCTCTACCAATAATAAATAAAAATAAATAAAAAGAAAAAGAGAAAAAGAAGAGAGTGAGCGAGAAATGCATTTTCGACATTGCACAAATATATTGTGTTAAGGAAAAAGAATTTTTCACCAATAAAATTGGAAATTGAAAATTAATTAAAATATAATATTAATATAGAAAATTTTCTAATTTTTAAATTCCCATTATCTCTTCTTTAATAAATGCTTGCAAAATACCTAACACGGCCACGTTTATACTATTTTCAATACATTAAAAATAATTCATTTATAATTCCAAGAATTTTTACAATAAAATTTTGCGAAGAATCGTAGTCTCAAAATACCTCTACATATAATAAATAAAATAAATAAAAAGAAAAAGAGAAAAAGAAGCGAGTGAGGGAACGCTGAAGCAGCCCTGAACCCTGTTAGGCAAATTCCAGTGAAGTACGATAATTAATGTGCAACGAATCTAATAATTCTCCAAGAAATTCAATCAATCTAACAAGCTGTAAATGGTGGCTCCATCGATTTTGGATTAACCAATGGAAATTCGTTTTCCTCGAGATTCTATTAATTTCATCAACTTTTCACCCTCTTCGTCGTTCCACCGGAAGTTACGCCATCGATGGGCGAAAAGTCTCGAGTCAAAGTGATCGGAGAGCTTTGGCGAATCTTAAACAGCAAGTCGCTCTGCTAAATTTCTTTCCCTCATTATTAACTTTCCATCTTCACCAACTACTGCAATAAACCCCTTCTCGGGTCTCGTCGTTCATGGGAAAACTCACTCGCGAATCTGCGAATGTGCATTCGCCTAAAAGCTCCATCCCATGGAAGACACATTTTTCTTTAAAAATTCAAATTTCCTTTCTTGTGATTTATTTGAGTCTTCCCGAGACAATTTGGTCACGAAAAATGAATATTTATTGAAAAAATTAACGAATTGCAGGTGTTTGGAAGATTATACACGTACAAATTGTTTATATTTTTTGATAAAATTGTGTTTGGTATATATTTTTGGGAAATTTATTGTGTTCTTATGAAATGTTAGAATTAATGTCAAATAAAAGTAGAATCTTATTAAAAAATTGTATGTGAGGATGATATTTTGATTTTGTAAATTTAAGAGAGAAAAAGGTAGAGAGAATTTTATATTTTGGAAATTTAATTCTTATACCTAAATTTATAGTATTTCTTTACTACAAAAGTCATGCTAAAAATGTCCTTTTCATTTTTCCATATAACATTTCGAATTACTCCAAAAATTGAATTTTAATACCTAACTCTAAATATTTCTTTACCATAGAAATCATGCTAAAAGTATCTTTTTCATTTTTCGTTTAATTAATGTTAAATAAAAGCAGAAGCTTGCGTGTCGAAATTAAAAATAGTATCTGGAGATGATATTTTGATTTTGGAAATTTAAGAGAGGGAAAGGTAGAGAAAATTCTATATTTCGGAAATTTAATTTTTATACCTATTCCTAAATTTTTCCTAAATTGTTATACCTAAATTTATAGTATTCCTTTGCCACAAAAATCATGCTAATAATATCCTTTTCATTTTTCCATATAACGTCTCAAATTATCCCGAAAATTTAAATTCAATTATTCCAAAAATTGAATTTTAATACCTAACTCTAAATATTTCTTTACCACAAAAATCATGCTAAAAATGTCCTTTTCATTTTTCCATATAACGTCTCAAATTATCCTAAAAAATTAAATCGAATTATTCCAAAAATTGAATTTTAATACCTAACTCTAAGAATTTCTTTACCACATAAATCATGCTAAAAATATCCCTTTCATTTTTCATTTTACGCATATAGATATTCCTTCCAATTTTCCTACACGAATTCCTCCCTATAGTGTCACAAATTATTTAAAAAATTCAAGTTCAACCCTTACGCTAATTACGCTATAAACAAATTACAGAAATTATACCGAAAGTATTCTTTCCATTTTTAATATTTTAAATAGAAATTCCTTCTATTTTACACGATTCCATAAAATTCCAATATTCCAAAAAATTTGGTAGTGGAGAAATTGAAATTAGAAAAAGGAAAAGGGTCGATCACAGGGACTAACAGTTGGTTTTTTAATTTTTCAAGAACCGTCACCACTGTACGACAACAATCACTACCATAATGCCGAAAATGTAACAGCTGCGGCCTGAATCTCACGGGACCCAACTACAAACGGGCTAGACGGTGAGTAGAGGAGACCGACACGTAAGGGGAGCCATAAAAATGAAATTTACGTCTAAAAGCTTTCTACATATAATTTTATCTGAAGGATCAACAGTTCATAAAGGTAATTTACTCAATTTACAGACAGCGATACAGTTTTATTAGAATTGGAAAATATAATACCCTGTTAGGGTCTTGGACCATCTATATTACTGATCTTGTTATGTCAATTAAACACACGTTTAATGAGAACGGATATTTGTGGTTCCTCCGGGTTCAGAAATTCTTTTTAATTTTCGCAATAAATAAATTCATTCCTCGTCTGAATATCGTGGTATAATTTAAAACTGATTTAATCGAGTCAAGGAAAAATAAGAAATTTAAGAAACGACGGATAAATATTCGAATTCGATGAAATAAAATGATGGAAAATGCGATTCGAATTTATTAAAAAATTATACAATGTGAAAGATCACGAGAGACATTAATTACATCAAAGTAGCTAAGATTAATAAAACCAAAGTAGAAATAAAAATATTAAATGAAAAAGTAAAATTTCAAAAATAAATGAAAAATTAAATTTTTGTTATTTCCAATCAGAATTTTTTAATTCACGACTTTTCATTTAAATATTTAAGCATTTCTTTAATTTAGATAAATTAGAATAATTATAAAGTTTTCTATATTGATTTCTAAAAAATTGATGCATAAATACACTGTACACCAATGATAGTAATTAACAAAAATAAATAGGCATGTTTATATTTGTATTACATATTATTTGTTATATTTTCAGATTCTCGTTTGAAGAAAAATTACCCTAACTATAATTTTGTCAAAAACAGCACTGTAATAATTACAAAATTACAAAAATTAAATTGTTTATGCCAGTCATTTTGATTCGTTCTAATATTAATCATATAAAACACCCCTGCAATTTTTATTTATTACACTAATATTTAGTATTCAACATGCATAGTTGCATATTACTAAATAAATTTTTTAAATTAAATTAACCAGAATTTATTACCCTAACTAATTTTGTCAAAAACAGCACTGTAATAATTACAAAATTACAAAAATTAAATTGTTTATGCCAGTCATTTTGATTCGTTCTAATATTAATCATATAAAACACCCCTGCAATTTTTATTTATTACACTAATATTTAGTATTCAACATGCATAGTTGCATATTACAAAATAAATTTCTTAAGTTAACCAGAATTTATTTAACCTTTTCACCATAATATTTGTAAGTTCCTGTACTAATTCAACCCTTAAAGATATTACACCCTTAAGTCCAGCTACTGAAAAGGAGCCATGTTCGTTCATGTTAGTGGATGGTCGAAGACTCTTACATAATAGTGCACGTAAACGTACAATACATTTTTCCCGTCTTCATCGCGAGCTAGATTAAGCCATTAAAAATAAACAGAGAATTTTTTCCCGGTCATATTTCGTTATTTTAGCGGACAAGGAGAATTTCCACGATAAACATGCCCCTTGTTATTTCGAACTCGTACGAAAGGCCAACGTTTATATTGCACGCCTGTCGTAGATCGACTCTTCCAATAAAAACCTTTGGATTCACGATCTTCATTCTCCCGCGGCTCGTTCTCGTTTAAAACAGCCCTCGATCCTCCTCTACGTGGATCCTCGATCGCGGACGCGTTCCCACGCCACGCAGGGGGATGAAACGGCCATGCTGCAGTCGCGATCCGAGCAATTTCGGAGAACGAAACTCGTTGAATTCGCGGAATCGAGAATCGATTCGTGCAACGAAAATTACACGGGGATGTGTGCAGTGGAATAATATTTGGCACGAGGTGAAAATTGCGGGAAAAATATGAAAATGGCGGGAAGCTTAAGAGAATCAATTTTCACCATCGTTCGTTCGTTTGGAATTTTAAATAGCTTGATTGGGAAATTGGAAATTAGTAATTTCGAATGGATTATATTCTCATTTGGATTTGACAATTAAGAATTTATGAATAGTGAGTTAGTTATTATGGAAATTATGATTTTCGTTGAATTTTTGTTTCGAAAATTACATAGGGATGGTGCAGTGAAATGATATTTGGTACGAGGCGAAAATTGCGGGAAAAATATGAAAATGGCGGGAAGATTAAGAGAATCATTTTTCACCATCGTTCGTTCGTTTGGAATTTTAAATAGCTTGATTGGGAAATTGGAAATTAGTAATTTCGAATCGATTATATTCTCATTTGGATTTGATAATTAAGAATTTATGAATAGTGAGTTAGTTATTATGGAAATTATGATTTTTGTTTTGAAAATTACACGGGGTGAAAATTGCGGGAAAAATATAAAAATTGCGATTGTTCGTTCGTTTGGAATTTTAAATAGGTTAATTGGGAAATTATTTATTTCGAATGTATTATATTCTTATTCAGGTTTGACAATTAAGAATTTATGAATCGTGAGTTAGTTATTATGGAAATTGTGATTTTTGTTTCGAAAATTACACGGGGATGTGTGCAGTGAAATAATATTTGGCACGGGGTGAAAATGGCGGAAAGATTAAGTTTGGAATTTTAAATAGCTTGATTGGGAAATTGGAAATTAATAATTTCGAATATATTATATTCCCATTCGGATTTGACAATTAAGAATTTATGAATCGTGACTTAGTTATTATGGAAATTATGATTTTTGCTGAATTTCTGATTCCAAAATTACACGGGGATGTGTCCAGTGTAGTAATGTTTGTCACGGGGTGAAAATTGCGGGAAAAATATAAAAATTACGATTGTTCGTTCGTTTGAAATTTTAAATAAATTAATTGGGAAATTATTTATTTCGAATGTATTATATTCTCATTCGGATTTGATAATTAAGAATTTATGAATCGTGATCCAGTTATTATGGAAATTATGATTTTCGTTGAATTTTTGTTTCATGCACATTATGGAGAAAATTGTTTCGCAGAGGGTAATTTCTAAATTCGATAATATATAGGAGTATAGGGTTTTTCATTTTTCGAATATTTCGAAAGTGTAAATTGTTTATAAAAATTGTATTTGACTTGCTTTGTATGTGACAAATTTTGTTATGCTTTAGAATTTTTTCACGATGTGTTGAAAAACCGTTTTTAAAATATTAAGTAACGTTGAAATTAGACAATCGACAAAAGTGGACTTGCCATGATTTCCCATGTGATCTCCATATGTTTTGTGTTGTATACAGGGTGGAGTAATTAAATTGACGTGTGTAAACAGATACGAGTATTTCGTTAGATCAAAAAGAAGGAATTGAAAAATATGAACAAAATGACTAATTGTAAATTCCAAAAATTATAAACATTTTTTTTTTAATTTCTTCGTGATATAGTAAATAAAGAACTCCTGGAAAATTATTAATTATTTATTAAAATTTACTTATTTAATATCAAAATTTACATAGTATCATTTTAATGTACATCGCATATCTAAAAATTTGAGTAAAAATAAAATAACTATTAAATATTGGCTGAATATTTAATAAGGTTGAAATAAAAATTAAAAGTTTGTGTGAAACTGAAGAATTTTGAGGGTGATAAATTATATTTTATAGTTTAATTTCTTATTCTATTTTTTTTTTTTTTTTTTATGAGAAATTATTCAAATTTTGTAAAGTAATTTAATAATTATTATATAAAAGAATATTAAGTATCGTGATTGCAAAAGTTATTAAATTTATTCGAGTGAAAAGACGTGTAATTTTCGATTTACCGCATGCCTCCAGGGAAGCAGTTATTTTTATTGCTCGCCGACCTATAAAAACATACGATTTAATTGAACTACTGAAACAAATATTTTGCCAACTTTTATATCACGTATACGTACACAATATACAATACGGGTTATACTGCTATTTGTTACGAGAAATACGTATTTTAAGAAGAATTAAAAACAGGTATGATGAAATTTTGTTTGAAATTGGAAATTCGAATATTTTTAAACCCTATTGAATTAAATTAAATCCCTACTTACGTGTCATATAAGTGAAAAATTTTTGTATATTATCCCATAAATATTTTATAAAACGTGCAAAATTTCTTTAAAATATTGCAATTTAGATACGAATGCACGAAAAGAAGTGGAATATTAAAATTCGTAATTCTCTGGAGAAATTGTGAATTCCCAATTTGCGTACATTTTTGAAAAAATTAAAATGTAAGATAAAATAAAATATTAAAATTCGAAATTAAATCCCTGCAATGTCTTTTCAAGTAAATTAATATTCCAAAATCTAAATTTACCAATTTGCAATGAATTTTTCTCTTTGTTTATATTTTACAAAGCACAGAAAGATTCTCTAGAATCCTGTATTTTATATATCAAAACGTTTCTCAAAAATTTAATTGCAAGAGATTAAATTCCTTCAAAGCTTCTCGCTAAAAATTCCGAAATTTATTCCTTCCTTTTTTGAATTTCAAGAAAATCTAAAAATTCTTTTAAAACTGTGTAATTCGGATCGCAAAAATTTTCTAAAGGATCGAATATTAAAATTCGAAATTAAATCACTCCAATGCTTCCCACAACATGTTTAAAAATCGGAGTTTACCAATTTCCAAAAAGTTTTCCTTCTTTTCAGAAAAATCAAAAAATTCCTATAATTCAGATCCCAACAATTTTTCCAGAAAATCGAATTTTAAAATTGGAAATTAAATCCCTCCAAAGCTCCCCACAAAATGTTTGAAAATCTAAATTTATCAATTTCCAAAAAGTTTTCCCCATTTTCAGAAAAATCAAAAAATTCCTATATTTCAGATCCTAAAAATTTTTCCAGAGAAACGGATTTTAAAATTCAATATTAAATCACAGGGAAATCTTCCGGAGGCTAAGCTTATCACTCCCTTTGCCAAAAAAATCCGCAAAATCCATCGATAAAACGCGAATAACGAAGAAAGGGAGCATCGAGTAGTGAAAGAAATCAGCGTGGGGGATGAAGGCTCGGTTAACAAAAGGCCGTATCGGAAATCAGAGGAATCATGGATCGATTCGTTACACAGCACGAATTCCCAGTCATTAATCAGAAACTCAGCTCGCGTCGGTGGCGTTTAACCGGAGACACGAGCGATCATCAATTTCCTCTGCTCCGCAGGTTCAAGAACCAAATACTTTGCGATCTTCACTTCGCTGACGTGGCGCTGATGGAGAGCTCGGACTTCATGCAGCAGTTGCGCAGCTTCAAATCACAAAGTTTAGGCTGCGCAGTTGCACGACGGAAGTCATCCACCACCTTAATATTCCCGTTGCCACCGCAAGCTTGCTCAGGTATGATCTACTGATCCACTAGCCTTTTAATTGCCAGAAATGTTGCTGACAAATCACTTTCCATAATTATTCGTGAAACGATGCATCTCGTATTGATTATCTAATTTTATATTTTTCTTTTATATTTATATTGTATATTATTATTTATGTTAGTAATATTTATACTATTAATCGACTCGAATTTTTTAATAGCCATTTCAAACTATGGCTATGGAATATTTTTCTAAAAAATTTCTCACTTTTAAGTTCTCATGAAAAAAAGAAATTATTGGAAATAAAAGATAAATAAAAATTGTGATTCATAATTGTGACGTATTTGTATTTATTTTTTATATTTATATTTTATATTATTAATATTTATGTTATTAATCAACGGGAATTTTTTAATAGGTGCGATTTGAAACACTGGCTATAGAACATTTTTCCAAAAAATTTCTCATATTTAAGTTCCCATGAGAATATAGAAAAAGAAATTCTTAAAAATAGAAAATAAATAAAAATTATGATTCATAATTGTGAGGAATTTATATTTATATTTTATAGTATTAATCGACTCGAATTTTTTAATAGGTGCGATTTGAAACAATGGCTATGGAACATTTTTCCAAAAAATTTCTCAGCTTTAAGTTCCCATGAGAATATAGAAAAAGAAATTCTTAAAAGTAGAAGATAAATAAAAATTGTGATTCATAATTGTGACGTATTTATATTTATATTTTATATTATTAATATTTATATTATTAATCGACTCGAATTTATTAATAGGTGTCATTTGAAACAATGGCTATAGAACATTTTTCCAAAAAATTTCTCACCTTTAAGTTCCCATGAGAATACAAAAAAAGAAATTCTTAAAAATAGAAGATAAATAAAAATTATGATTCATAATTGTGACGAATTTATATTTATATTTTGTATTATTAACCGACTCGAATTTTTTAATAGGTGCCATTTGAAACAATGGCTATGGAACATTTTTCCAAAAAATTTCTCACCTTTAAATTCCCATGAGAATACAGAAAAAGAAATTCTTGGAAATAAAAGATGAATAAAAATTGTAATTCATATTTGTGACGTATTTATATTTATATTTTATATTATTAATATTTATAATATTAATCGACTCGAATTTATTATAGGTGTCATTTGAAACAATGACTATGGAACATTTTTCTAAAAATTTCTTACCTTCAAGTTCCTAAATAAATAAAAATTGTGGTCCATAATTGAGACACATTTTATATCTATTTCTTACATTATTAATCAACTCAAACTTTTTAATAGATTCGATTTGGAACAATGGCTATGGAACTTATAAATTCCCATGAGAATATATAATAGAAAAAGAAATTCTTGGAAATAAGAGATAAATAAAAATTGCGATGCATTTTGTATTTATTAATCAACTTAAAATATTCAAGGGTCGAGAAAAAATGATATTATTAATATTTAGTAACATTACAATAATTATTAACATCATATACACTTGTAAGATTCCATAATGGATTTAATTATGTACAAAATAATTTTATATTACATTTAAATCGAATTTAAATTACGTTCAAATAATAAATAAAAATTCCAATTTCTATTTATTCAAAATCTAGGTATAGTTGATAATTATTCACAAAGAATTTCATTAAACTCGAAATGTATTATCAGGAAAAATATTTTAATACCTAGCAACGATCTTCGTAAATATCACATAATTTTATCACACAAAAATGTGTTTCGTGTTGCAAAAATATCGAATAGTATAGGGATCTTCGATAAATAAATTGTCAGGTCGTAGATCGTGATTCGAGAGACGAGTTAACACGTCTTCCACGGTTAACAGGTTAAGAGACTCGACGACGACGAGTCGAGAGGAAACGGAAGTGGCTCGAATCGCGAACTTTTACTAGCGTATATATGTATGAGTTCGATGCTACAGGTGGTTCTCCCTGTCTTGGATTATGCGCCTTTGCATACACGACTTTGCCTGCCGCTCTGAATCGAGATCTACCATCTCGAATTAACCCTCTGTAACTACTTGTCACGTGGTATTTATATTTTGGAAATTTTCTTTCACTTATTTCTAACTGTCTCGTCGTGTTCAATTAGTATTATTGTATGTATATCTGTGGTACAATACAACTGGCATCGAACAATGTATTTATAGTGATTATTACGTATTACGTAATATACGTATTTAAATCTAAAATAATTAAAAATGAAAACTAGAAAATTGTGATTGATATTTTCTGAATCAAAAAATTGCGATGAATACCTCCCAAATTAGAAAATTGCGACGAATATTTTCAAAATTAAAAAATTGTAATTGATCCCTTCTATATTAAAAACTTGTGATGAATATTACCTAAATTAAAAAATTGGAATGCATAGTTCCAAAATTAAAAAATTGTGATGAATAATTCCAAAATTAGAAAATTACGTCGAATATTTCCAAAAATTAGAAAATTGTGATAGATATTTTCTATATTAAAAAATTGTGGTGAATATTCTCTAAATTAAAAAATTGTGATGCATAGTTCCCAAATTAAAAAATTGTGATGAATATTTCCTAAATTAAAAAATTGAAATGCATAGTTTCCAAATTAAAAAATTGTGATCAATATTTCCTAAATTAAAAACTTGTGATGAATATTCCCTAAATTAAAAAATTGTGATGCATAGTTCCCAAATTAGAGAATTGCGACGAATATTTCCAAAATTAGAAAATTGTGATAGATATTTTCTACATTAAAAACTTGTGATGAATATTCCCTAAATTAAAAAATTGTGATGCATAGTTCCCAAATTAGAGAATTGCGACGAATATTTCCAAAATTAGAAAATTGTGATAGATATTTTCTACATTAAAAACTTGTGATGAATATTCCCTAAATTAAAAAATTGTGATGCATAGTTCCCAAATTAGAGAATTGCGACGAATATTTCCAAAATTAGAAAATTGTGATAGATATTTTCTACATTAAAAACTTGTGATGAATATTCCCTAAATTAAAAAATTGTGATGCATAGTTCCCAAATTAAAAAATTCTGATTCTAAATTAAAAAATTGTGATGAATAATTCCCAAATTAGAAAATTGCGACACATATTTCCAAAATTAAAAGACTGTGATAGGTATTTTCTGCATTAAAAAATTGTGGTGAATATTTCCCAGAAATTATAAAATTCTGACGAACATTTGCCAAATTTGATATATTATACTTTTTACGCGCAGCATAGCTACAGTTACTCGGCTCGAAGGCAAGTCGGATCAGAAAAGTGGATTTCTCTTTCGAAGTTGATCGTTCAAAGGGGTCTCGTAAAAGACACGAGAGATAATATTAAAATTGATCGCAGTAAGCAAACAAATTTCCATTTAATGGCACTGGGATGTTTCTCTCGACGTGCGCGAAGGAACGTGAGGCGGATACACATGTTTTCCATTCTCGAATCATTTGAACAAATAAACATGTTTTGCAACGTGGAGCCACTTAATTGGACGAACGTGTTTCCCGTGCTCAAGTTATTTGTTATTTCAAGGGAAGTGTTTGTCTTCAGAAATTGTTATTCACTGATTCGCGAAAATAGCAACATCATTAACCCCCGATCTTGTAATTCGCTTCGGTTAACCTTTAGTTCTATAAATTATTTATTTTCCTCCACCAATTCATACATTTTAAAGAAAAATTTTCAGATTCCTTATATACAAGAACTTTATTTTATTAAGAAGATTATTATTACTATTATTATTATTAA